TTGACTGGTCGCTTGTTCTGTCACCGGCGTCTGTTTGGGATTCTCCCTGTGAGTACCTTGTGCTGTAGAATTAGGATTCTCCGTTAGTATTGCTGTGGAAGATGTAGGTTTCCCAGACGGTGGTGGTGTGAAAGTTGCACGATTCCCGGATGCAATTGGTGTTTCACCGAAGGTCTGAACTTTCAATTTATTCATTAGTGTAGCGATTTACAAGTCCTTTTCTTCAATAGTCTTTGTGAGGTTCTCAATGGAATGAGCCATAGTTGCTAGTTGTTCCTCCACCGTAGCAGTTCCGGTCATCATTGCAGCAACACATCTGAGTATGATAAGCCTTGAGAATCCACGTTCCTTGAAGTGATTGATTGCTCCGAAGTCTGACGTGGTGACTCTGGGGGTGAACCGACACTAGAGTGAGCATCATAGATAGAACGAAGTGAATTTGGTGGTGGAGCCTCCTCTGGAACAATGTCAAGGTTTTTGACATGTTGAGTTTTCACGTTTGCCGGTGTTGCAGGATTAGTTTTCACCACATCTTGCTGAAGTTTGAATGACGCCATCGCCTCGGACTTGCTACGTGTCACAGGGCCCGTCAAGGTACTTCCATCGCTTAATTTGGTCTTCGTGCCACTTTTCATGGTGGCTTTAGCGTCGACCTTTGCAATAGCGATGTTCTTTTGGGCTTTCTTGTCTGTCTGAATCTTAGGGGGAGCCATAGAATCTGTTAGAGAAGAAACGTGATGGTAGGAGAAAGAGATGAGAGGCAAAGGTTGTCCCACCGGGCGTGCCACAAATTTGTACACACAAATTTTGTAAGTCTGCAATAGAAACAAAATATGGAGCAAATAGAATTTTATTAATTTATGAATGTGGAGTACAGTCCTTTGTAATATCTTTTACAAAAAAAGAATGGTCCTCTGATTCGATCTCCTTGTTTTTGGTTGGTTGGATCCAAGGGCTGCACGAGCTTGTTCTTGAATCACTGTGGAATTTGATGAAGAACGGCACGTTGTTGGATGTACTTGATATTCTTCGCTTTTGGGTTTCGATTCTGAATTTGTGTCTGAATTCTGAGTCTCTGGATTTCTGAGTCTTTGAACTTCTGAATTCTGAATTTGTGTCTGAATTTGTAAACTTCTGAATTCTGAATCCTCTCCCCTTTTTCTTCCTCCAAACCTCTATTTATAGGCTTCTTGGATTAATAGGATGATGACACGTGTCATCTCCTGATAAGGAAAAAACTATAATTGGGCCGGGCCGGATATATTATGATAATTATCCTTAAAAATAATTATTCCAAATATATTTTATTAGGAATGATTATTCTTTTTATTTGACCATCTAGACTCTAGACTGGGCTTAATTAAATAATTTAAGTGGACCATACTTGGGCCAATTAAATAACTTAATTAAACATTGGGCCCATATTTAATGGGTCCATTTGTCCAAATTAAAGTCCACTAAAATTTTAGTGTCTACAATACGTATAAAATTTTTTGTAAAGAATGGTGTTAAAAGAATCTCTGTTCCATCTATTTGGAAATGATTTGATTTTTAAGAAGAAAATTTTGGGTTACTTATGTTAAGGATGAGAAGATATTATGCAGTGTTGGGACTTTTGTAGTGCTTATTTTTATTTTCATGCATATGAAAATGATGAAGCCTACAATGAATAAACCTGAAAACTCTTCACATAAAAGAAATACGGAGTAAAACTTATGTGAAAACTGCTAAGAAGATTGTATTTTTATTTTCTCATCTATGTATGGCTCACAATGCGGTGATTTACCAGTTCTAATCGATTCACTGGATAAATGTACAGTAACTCTAAATCTGTGTATTGATCTCTTATTAGGAGAATGTGTTCTATTATTAAACAAAAAATACAGGAGAAATTCCTTACCATGGATTTGTTTTGCCTGTCAAAATGGTTGGAAAAGCGGCTGTTAGGTTCAATGATTGAAGCTTCATGTTGTGCACTGTTGGAACTTTTGAAGGATTATTTGTTTTTTTATACACACTTGAGCTCTCATTCAAATACATAACCTGGGTGTTTTTCACCACGATTCGGATTCTGACTATGTTTAGATGCTTGAAGCTTGCGTAGTGCCCGCTATAGGGACTTTCTCCATTAGCAACTTCAGTTGGATCACTTTTTGGCTCGGATTAGTTGTTTAAAGATAACAGGTGCTGAGAAGGGAAGTTGGCTTTTTCAATCACCAATCTAGCTAGAGTTTCTCATGTTGGGCGGGGAAAAGTGTAATGGAACTGTGTAATGTAAAAGAAGATTATGGTGTTCTTTTAATGGGGTCTACTTAGTTTGAAAAAATAGGTTTCAAAAATAAGTATGGAAAAGTTATTTTTAATGGGGTCCACTTATTTTGAAATTTTAATTAGTTTAATCTTTTAGGGGTAAATTGGGAATGTAATAAAAAGTAGTGTATTGATCTTTGAAATATGACAACTAAAATGGGATAGCAAAAAATGAGAAAATGGACTACTAATAAGGGATAGAGGGAGTAGTTTTTTATGTGGTGTATTCCAGGGTCCTAAAGTCGGTTACCAAGTTATGGTGATGGAGACTTTTATATAGATGAACAATATAAGTTCTAAGCCTTAACCTTTACTTTTTAGAGACCATAGTGAATTATGTAATTGATGTGTACGGTCCTAGCATTCTAACACAGGTGTTGAGTTCTTTCAAATCTTAATCAAGCTTGAAGTAACTCATTCTTTAGCAAAGACTTCACATGTCAATTATATATGAATGAAGTGCATAATTTATTGTTAATGGATACAGGAACATATGAATGATGAATGATATGCATGGTCCTATAGACATGAGCTTCAAATTGATTCATAAATATATTGACAATGAATCCTAAACACTCACCAACCTATCTACCCCTTTCTTCATGCTTTGTCTATGATCGTGTAGGTTTTGAGGTAGTCTTGCTTTCTTCCTTTCTTAGAGTTGCTTTCTTACTTGTTGTAGTTTATGCTATCTTTCCTTACAACTTCAAGTCTTCTTTGTATTCATTTATTTCCTTTATGTGATCTTGAGTAATAGAATACTTGGAATGATCTTTATAACTTCATCGAGGTCATTTTTGAATGTGAATAATCTATATAACACTCAATGTAAACATTAGTCTTTAAACACCATTAATGGTTTGTTATCTTCAAAACATTTAGATTGTCCTTGGATGAGATTCTTAAGGTCAACACATCTTCAATGCAAAATGTTATTTTTGTATGTCAAATTTATATTTTGAGATGAGCTACAATGTCAAAATGATATATTTTAGCAATTATATTTCAATGGTGCATTTCAACCAAAATGCTATTTGGAGTGTATTATTTTCTTCCACTTGCTATATTTTAAGAAACGGAATCGTATGAGAAAAAAGAGACCTCTCAAAAAATTTTGAGAGCTGCCATATATGGTAATACTTTTGACAATATTAAAACATGAGAGGTCGTTTGAGAGCCCATTGGAGAGTATTATTTTGGGAAAATTTAAAATCTCACTACTTAATTTTTCATATTTTAAAATATGTAAACTTTTTCAAGTTATTAGGTTTGACTACCAACTTTGTGAAACTAATTACAAAAATATACAAAAAACCACTTTTTACATTTTTTCATGGTCCAAATTGTCCCTATCTACATTATACTCTCTCCTCTATTTTCTCTCTAACCTGCATACCAAATTTATTACTAATCTTGGGTCTTCTGATTATAAGTTGTCAAAATTATTCATAATCTTCCTTATGATCTTTAGGATTTCAAGTTAAAAACATTTTGTTTTTGGTAATAAAAATGAGAAGAATTTTAATAGAAAGAGTGCCAATCTTATCACTGACAATGGAATTTGAAAAATAAATTTTGTTGTGGTGCATGCGATTCCACGAAGGTGACTATGTGATGAACATAGATGGTTGCAGAAATTATCAACAGTTAGCAAAGATGGTCGGCTACCAGTGGCAGACGGCGGTGCACTAAACAACTTACCGGCAAGTTGAAACGGTGGTGAATAACGACTGCTAGAGAGATTCCGACGCTGACGAGCAAGGAACGGCGGTGATGGGTTTGGTGTTTTTTTTTTTTTTTCATTCTTAGGACTGGGTCTTTAGTTCTTTTTAGTGGAAGCTATGTTGTGACAAGACTGGGATGAAGGTGATGGCTTGGTAGGAAATCAGAAGACCCGAGATTAGCAAGAAATTGGTATGCAAAGAAAAGAAGAGAGGGGCATTTTGGATCATGAAAAAAGATAAAATGTGTTTTTGTATACTTTTGTAGTTAGTTCCAGAAAATTAGTGGTCAAATTTAATAATTTGAAAAAAATTACTTTTTTTTTTTTAAATATAAAAAATTAAATAATATTTTAAATTTCCCCTATTATTTTCATCACCTTTCAAAAATTTTTGAAAGTTGCTATATATGATATTATTTTTAACAATTTCAAAATATGACAGGTATTTTAAGAGCGCATCGAAAATGCTCTTATAAAAGAAAAAAAGAAAAAGGGAAGCCCATCTGTGTTATAATGAGACGCAACCCATTATAACATTTCTCAAAAAAAAATTTATTTGAAGTCCCGAATTAAAAAATACTCAAGTGGTTGCTGAAATAATATTTTTAAGGAGCAAATGTGGGCCCTACGTTGGACTGTAACGTGTGAAGGTGAGATTTATCCTTGTCACTTGGTTCTATATATGTGTATGTATTGTGTATATATATCGTTATATATATATGTATATGTTATGGACTGGGGGGTAGTTTCGTTCCGTTTACAAAAACTACATGCTGCTCGGTCGGACAAGCGCCCATAAATTTTAGATTTCACTTTTATTTCTATTATACCAAACTACCCCTACCTTTTTTCCAAAATACCTCGTTCTATTTGAGTCTTAAGACCGTTCAGGGGGACATAATCGTCAAACCGCTTAATTTTTTTTTTTTTTGTCTTACTCTCCAAGGGAAAAAGTAAGAGAAAAACAAAGGCGGTCCCATGTTCGTTTATTAGGGTTTGAAAGTAGGAGGAGGAGGAAGAAAGGAAAAACATTCGTCGACTTTTTTTCTCTCTAACATCCAGGTACGATCGACTGTTCTCTCTCTCATACACAAATATATATTTATGTATATGGAAAATCATCTGTTATCTTTTGCTATATATGTTTTTTACTTGCGTTGATTTTGAAGGTGCCCTGGATCTATGTTGTTTTTATGTTTCTGAGAGATGTTTGCACCGTTGTTGATCTAACTTGTCCAGCAATTCGTCGAAAATTCCATAGTTATGTTCAATTTAGCGTTGCTTAACTAATTGAAATTTATAAAGCAACCTTTTGATCTGAGTATGGTGGAATATTTTTTTTTTAACTTAGTAATGAATGTATTTTAGGTATGTTAAAACGTCAATTTGGCCAAAGTTTTAATATCTGATCTTAAATTTCGTTTTTCCAATGTTTTCCCCGTCAGATATTAATGTTTATGAGTGAATTCTGTGTTAAATTGCTGAATTTACATTTCGTCTGTTCATGTTGAACGGGATGTTTTTGCTCTTAAATTTTTTTTGCAAGTAATATTTCATTAAAGAGCTCTCAAAAGTAGAGCGCATCCCAAAAACAATTTCACAGAGGACCAACAAGGCCCTATATACTGATAAAAGTATCCACAATATCCAAGTTCCCCACATACTTACAATTCACACCACGTACCCAAAAAGATAATGATCCGAGGATCGAGAACTTAAGCACCCATCTCCATCTAAAGATCTCCCTTTTTGCTCCTGTCACAGTCCCCACCGAAGACAAAAGGGGTGCTGGCCTCCTAGCCTCTATGTCTTGCCTCCGCATTATACAACCTCTCCAAGCCTCAAGCTTAAAAAAAAGCCACCTTTAGAGGAGCCCTGGTACTTTTGGGCGGCGTACCCCGTTTAAGCCACCTCGAGAGGGGCCCTGGTACTTTTGGGCCGCGTCCCCGTTTGGGCGCCCTTCTATGAAATTTTATTTATAAAAAAAAAAAAGAAAAAGAGAGAGAGGGAGCCCAGGTAAGCCAAACCGCCTTCCATGAAAAAGAAGGCCCGCAAGCATCCACCATGATAAAAATAATGCACCTAAAACAATCCATGACTGTCATCTCTCCAACACCAGTCTTCTATCCCCGTCCTATCCACACCTCTTGACTGTAAATAAGCGTTAAAAACTTGCAAACGTCTCGCACCTCCCAATCTTGAAAGGATTTCTCAAACCGAACATCCCAGGGTAGTTTCTTGCTATCAACTATGAGGATATTGTGTCTCAAATTCAATCAATATTTAAGTTTCCTTTTTTTAAGTCATATTTTATATGGTAATTTCTTGTTTACAAGTCTTTCTTGTCTTGGGCTCTAGCGAATTTCTTGTAAGGCATCTAAGGAATGTGTTTAAAACTCTATAAATAGAGGGGGAGTCATTTGGAGAAGTTAATGAAGAAAAGAGGATCTAAGAGTGAGTGAGGAGAGAAGAGATTGGGTGAGAGTAGAGAGTTACTCCAAAAGAGTGGGTGGGCATTATCTACAGTTGTATATTATTTTCATGATTCATAATAGGGAAATTTCTTCTCTATGTGGACGTTGCCCTAGTTTTGGATGAACCGCGTAAAATATCGTGTGTTGCAAATTGATTGCTTGTTTTGTGATTGGAACTTCATGCTTGTAATGTCATTTGCTTCTGTTATGTTGAACAAAGGGGATTTAATCCGAACAAGTGGTATCAGAGTCAGGTTTGTCCTGAAGAGTTTGTCAAAGCCAAAGGTTCGTTGTGGGGAATCTGTCAGAGCCAAAGGTTTGTCGTGGAGAGTTTGTTTGAGCTAATGGTTCCTCCTGATGAAGTTTGAAAGTTGGGTGATAGCAATCCAAAAAACACAAAAAAAAAAGGAGGAGATGGTTGGTGATCTTCAGTTAAGGTGGAGCGTTAGAGGTGTGATTGTTCAAGCACGATGATTGATCTGATGGAGTTTGAGGCAAGGTGCAGAACGTTAGGATTTGTCTCTCAAATTCTATCAATTTTTTAGTTTCCTTTTTTTGAGTCATAATTTTATGATAATTTCTTGTTTGGAAAGTCTTGGCCTTTAAGGATTTTTTCCCTTAGTTGGTACTCACCCTCTTCCCAGGAATAGTTTGCACCTAGTAAGAATCGATCGTGAGACCTGATGCTTCATGACGCACTAGAGCCCGAGTCTTTTCCAACTAGGCCAACCCCTTGGGGTTGCCTTTAAGGAATTTTATGTCTCAGCCTCTACGGAATATGTTTTAACGCTTTATAAGTGCAAAGGTAGTTGTTTGGAGAAGGTTGAGAAGAAAAGAGGATGTAAGAGTGAGTGGGTAAGGAGAGAAGAGAGTGGGTGAGAGTAGAAAGATGCCCCAAAACAGCGGGTGGGCACTCTCTACCGTTGTATATTCTCTTCTTGATTCATAATAGTGAAATTTCTTCTCTCCGTGGATGTAACCTTAGTTTTTGGGTGAACCATGTAAACTATTGTGTTGTTTGTTTTGTGATTGGATCTCCATACTTGTGATGTGATTTGCTTTTGCCATGCCGAACGAAGGGGATTTAATTCCCAACAAAGACGATTGCAGTAGGCAACTAAAATCTTCTTTTCCACGACAATCCAAAAAAGACGTAAAAATGTAAATGCTAGTGCTTGATCCTCGAACCACTCACCCATATAAAAATCAACACGCCTCCCACTCATACGAAAATGAATATGCTTCAAGAATTCATCCCATCTCTTCCGGATGAATTCCCAAACGCCCACTCTTATCGGCATCTCACCTCTGAAGAGCACCACCCTTCCCCTGCCCTCGCCAAACTTGCCCCAAATGATCCTTCTCCAAAGGCTTAGCCTTTCCACCCCAAACCTCCACAACCACTTTACCTAAAAGGCGCCTTGTGGAACTTTGCCAACCTCACTCATAGATCCCCAGTTAAATAGGACAACAAATCTGTTAATAAGGTGATATTCGAATTCATACCACATACCATTCCATAAGATGATTTGCTGCGACTTTTCAAGTCTTGCCACAACGAGGCCGGAATTTGAAAAAGTGAAAGATAGTAGGTGGAAAGATTTGAAAGGGAAAGAGTAACTCACTCGTTTTTTTGAAAGATACGCTTCTTCCACCCAACAAACTTCCTCACGAATCTCTCAACCACAGGATTCTAAATGGAAATCCTCCTCGAACCTAGCAGCAACCCCAATTAAGAAGGCTGAAACAACCTTACACCGCATCCCAGAATATTAGCCAAAGAGTCACTTTTGGCCATGTCCCCCACGGAACAATCTCACTCTCAGCTCACTATACTGCATCCCAGAATATTAGCCAAAAGTCGCTCTCGACCATGTCCCCCCATGGAACAATCTCACTCTTCCATAGATTAACTTTTAGCCTAAAAATTGCCTGGATACGCACCAAGACACCACAAGAGTCCGAGCTGCGCTTCCTCTGCATCGATAAATACTATGGTATCATAAGGAGTTGAGATATCTCAATTTGATGAGGGGAATCTCTCTCCTCTATGAACAATGAACCCTCTGCTGAAACCCAGCTTCATAACTGAAGAGTTGAGAAATTACGAGTCTGGGCCGGGCCAAATACAGCCCAACAGACCCGACCGACTGGGCTGTTCATCATCCGGAAGATCCATAGCTCAGGCCCAAATTGTATTTAGTCAAAAATAATTAAAACATGCCGTTGTTAGGGCCCAGTTAGTGTAAACGGACTGCCCCATAAAGGAAGAAGGCCCATCAACCTACAACCTAGGGGCACAATGTAAGAAATTAGGGCAAGTGTAAGCCTCTATAAATAGAAGCTAGAAAAAGAAAGAGAGGCAGATTGTTTGGAGTGTGAGAAAAGAACAACATTTTCTTACATCTTCATCTGGCATTGTCTAAGGGAAACGATAGAAGGACTTGTTGATTTTAACAACGAATGACATAACTTCGATCGAGAACTATGATCGGAGATGAAGGCTCCTGCCAGCAGGAAGAGGACCAACGGGTCAGGCATGACGACCTGATGTAGATCGTAGAGACTCTACGATGGGAGAACACCGAGTTGAGATCCAGAATGGAACGGAGAGACGCTCAACCGCTCCCCTGTCCACCGGTTGCAAATGAGCGAGTGGAGCTAACGAACGTCAACCGGTGAGCGGAGAGAGCAGGATCCGTCCATCTCGACCCTCAGCACAGAATGCTCGGACTAGAGGAGGAGGTGGAACACGTTGAAGCCGATCCATCATGGCAGAAAGAATCCACTGTAGACAAGGTGTTTGATGATTTGCGCCAGTCAGAAGTAAGTACCCATGACTTGAGTGCCATAGGGAAGCAACAGTTGGACCAGAAGTTGCCCCCCGCGATCACTGAGGCTAACCGATCATCAGCTCGGACAGTTGACTCACCCTTCACAGAAGAGATATTGAAATCGCCAAAACCTAGAAAGTTTTCAATACCAGTATTCACGTTGTTCGACGGAACGAAGGATCCAACGGAGCATATCTATCAGATCCAATTAAAGATTGCGGCGATGGCCTTGGACACTGAGGACGACGCCCAACAACCCTCACTGCATCTGCACTCAACTGGTTCAAGCACCTACTAAGGGGGTCGGTTGGAAGCTTTCGCACACTTTGTGACTTATTCATTGGTCAATACTCTGATTATCGGTGCATTGAGGAGGATATTTCGTGTTTTTTCACTATGAGGCAGCAGGAGGGAGAGCGCCTCCAGGCCTTTGTCACCAGATTCAATCTGGAGATGAGCATGGTAATTGATTGCCTGCCATCAATTACCAGAGGGACTCAGTTCCATACGTCCTTGGTGGTGGCAACGCCTAAAACCATGGACAAACTCAATTTGAGAGCGCAAGGCTATGTGCTTCTCGAGGAGGATAAGACAATCAATGCAAGGAGGACCATGATGGTTACAGTGGAAAACAAGTCAAGAGCAAAGATAACTGCTTATAGACCCCCGTATCATAACCCCGAGTGACGCTTTAAAAGGCAGAAAAGAGGCAACAAGAGGATGAGATAGTCACACCACTTAAGGTCACTTTGGC